CTGTCTGTCTCTCTCTCTGTCTGTCTCTCTCTATCTGCATCAATCCACTGAATCACTAATTAGGGTTGCTTGTATGAGCCTGGGCAGGGAATTATTTACTGGAGCATGAGTTGCTACCCAGTGGCTGCACTCCTTGAGAAAATGACTTGTCTTCCCCACACACACACACCGCAGCCACTAACTGCCAAGCCCCTCCTCCACCCATGATGGAATAGTGACAGCCTCATTTTCTACAGTCGTGTAAAGACATCCAGGGCTTCTGTGATTTCACGGGTGTCGTGACCAAGTCATGTCCACATGTCTATTTACAACATCCTTCCTCATTCTTTAGCCAATATTTTGTCTGCCCCCTCTTCTGGAGTGTCTCCTGAACCTTGGAGGTGGGGGAAATATAGATGTCCCATAGAGGTCTGAACCCTTTACAGTTCACACAATTCTCAGCACTTGAACCAACTAGGTTCTTTGCATCAACTGCATAAAGGGTCTCTGACCAGGGCTGAGAGCAGCACTGGCCTTTGGCTAGCTATAAACATATCTATTTAGAAAACACCTTTACAATGTATCCATGTACCAAGGCATCGGTAGTAGATCCCTGCCTAAGCTTATGACTTACTTTATCATTGACTTTTTAAATATATATGTGTGTGTGTGTGTGTGTGTGTGTGTGTGTGTGTGTGTGTGTGTGTAATTTTTATGTGCATCTGTGTTTTTGCCATGGGTGTCAGGGTCCCCTGAAACTGGAGTTAAAGACAGGTATGAGCTGCCATGTGGGTGCTGGGAATTGAACTCAGGTCCTATGGAAGAAGAGTCAGCACTCTCAACGCCTGAGCCATCTCTCCAGCCCTATCATCAACTTCTAAGCAGGTCACACATCAGGAACAAATTCCCTCTAGCAAAGGAGAGCTGACCTCCAAGCAGAAGGCAGTGAGCTACCCCTGAAGGAGCTATGGCCCTGCTGCACCACTGTGCACAGCTTGCCGGGCAGCACAGTAAATTACAGCACGCCGGGTGAGAGTATCGCCGACTCTTCTGCCCGTGTTAGCCTGTTTAACAGCTTTCCGAACTGTGAAAGCTAGCCAGCAGAGAGGAAGCTTCCAGTTCAGCTCAGCTCCAGCTTAATTTCTCTGCGTTCCCCCTGACCAGCAACTTTTAAGGATTTATAGCAAATTTAGAATTGGAGATTTTAGTTAAATAAGCCACAGCTTTTAGAAACAGCATTAGCCAATGCTAACTCTCTTTAGGCCCTTTTTAAAAATTTATTTTTAATTAGCCTACATTGCACCTAAGTTTTGGTTAATTCTTCCCCAGCCTCCTCCTCTCTCCCATCTCCCTACCCTTGTCCCTTCTTAACCCTTTGTAGCCCCAGTATGACAGATACACCAGGCTGCTTCAGTCCCAACCCAAGTGCTGACACTGGCCGGATGCTCCGGCATCATCCATTCCCAGGGTTAGTTGACCCAGCAGGTGAGAGTGTTCTTTTCTTCCTGTGGTCAACAGAGGCTGAAAGAGGTCCAAAGGTCACACTATGGATAAGTAGCAGAATTGGTACTGGTACTGTGTTTTCGTGTCATTCAGTATGAAATGCGATCTAATTTCCCTTGTAATATCTTCTTTCAGTCATAAATTATTTAGAAGTACATTGTTTAATTTCCAAAGTTTGAAATCCAGGTTTTCTCGGATAACCTGCAAGTATTTCTAACTTCATTCCATTGTTATCAAACAGTGTATTCTACATAGAAACCCTGTGACTTCAATGCTTTTCCGTTGGCTGAGGCATTTCTGGTGACTCTGTGAATGTGCCATGTACACATTAGTAGAATTTGTATCTTACAGTTGCATGTAATGTTCTATTAAGTCAGTGATTACTAATGTTCAGATTTTGTTAACTGAACTTTTTTTTCTAGTTCCATCAATTGTTGAGTTAACTTTTTCATATATAATTGTGAATTGTTTATTTCTGTCTATAATCCTGTCATTTGTTAGTTCATGTATTTTGAAGCTCAATAATTATGAGCATATACATTTATAATTGTTACATCTTCGTATTGAGTTTATATTTATATCATTATGAAGTTCTATCATTAATAAAAAAAATTTCTTTAAGTCTATTTTACCTGACACTAAAAAAGCTACTAGGACTTTCTTATGTTAATTATTGCCTCAGTAAATATTTTTATAAGCACTCATTTTCTACTTATCTGCGTCTATACAGTGAGTCTCTTATAGACAGCATATTGATTCTGCTTTTGTTTATCTGTTCTGACAACCTATGCATTTTAATGCTTTGCCATTAATACTGAGTGTCATCACTAATACATTTGTTTAACATTAAATTGTTGTTTGTCCCCTCCAACTTTCTTGTCTTCTTTTGAATTCCCAGCTATATTCAGAATATCTTAAATAGTTGCTCTAGAGCTGTGTTGTCCAACACAAATACTCATCAGCCACTTGGGGCTACTAAATGCTTAAAATGTGACTAACTCAAAGCAAGACATACTAAATTCTAAGTGTACTCAAGATTTTGAAAATTTAGTATGAAAACATACAATAGCATATCAATAATTTCATAAAATTATATGTGACATGATAATATTTTGTATTTGCATTAATTTAGCATTAATTTCAACTGTTCATTTTTATCTTTCTAATACAGCTGCTCAGGCTTTTAGATAGCATATATGACTCATATTTCTATAGGACAGCATTGCTCTAGACTACTGGTTCTCCACTTGGAGATTCAAGATCCTGTTGAGTTTCCCTTTTCGGAATCTTTTACAGAATTTCCCCTCAGGTTCTAGTGAATGTAGTTCCCACAATCTCTGCTGCCCAGCTGCTCTTCAAATCAGAAATACTTCCTGTTGGAACTGCAGCTGTCTTGTGCAGGGCCAGCTCTAGCCTGCTCTTGGGCTAAAAGCCATCAAAACGCTCTTTGCAACTGCCAACTCCCTGCAAAATTGTCCTCACTTTTTGCTCTATGATGTCTTCAGTATCTTCTCCTGCTCCCCCCACTTCCACTCTTACCTCTAGCTTACAGTTATAATGTTGTAAGCTAATTAGAAACTTATTAAGGAAAAGGGAATTCCTCATTTAAAGAAGACATGGAGACTAACGGGTAAAGAAAACACTTAAAACTATAAATTAGACATAATTGATTCTGAAGTTCATTGGTCATATTTACTCAGAATCTTCTGCCAACCTTTTCCCCAGAGCCTCGGCATATCAGAATGTTAAAAACTGGAGATCTGACTATAAATATTTTATATGCGTTAAGCAAACAAAATTGTGAACACCAGCCAGCTGCTGCCCCAAGCCCGTCTGAATCCTTCTTACCCTTTCAGCTGTCTCTCAGCATGCCCTGAACCTCATCATAATCCAGAACTGAAGACTTATACAGGGGACCTCAGAAAGCTTCAACACTGTGGTCTGGGTCCTTTCTGGTTAGTAGGGGTCCTGTTTTATCAGTTGTGTTTTTAAATATCACCTCTACACCTACATGCCACTAACAAAGTAACCGTCTAATAATAAATAAACAGAACTGTCTTAGTTAGGGTTACTACTGCTGTGATGAAACACTGTGACCACACCAACTAGGGGAGGAAAGGGTTCTTTCAGCTTATACTTCCATATCACAAGTAATCATCAAAGGAAGTCAGGATAGGAACCCAAGCAGGACAAGGACCTGAAGGCAGCAATAGATGCAGAGACCATGGAGGGGTGCTGCTTACTGGCTTGCTCCTCATAGCTTACTCAGCCTGCTTTCTTATAGAACCCAGGACTATCAGCCCAGGGATAGCCCCACCCACAACAGGATGGGCCTCCCCCATCAATCACTAATTAAGAAAATGCCCTGCAAGTTTGTCTACAACCTGATATTATAGAGGTATTTTCTCAATTGAGGTTCCCTTCTCTCTGATGACTTTAGCATGTATCAACTTGACATAAAACCAACCAGCACAAGAATATTTAGCTTTTTAGTCTGAAGCACACAGATCACTCTTCCAAGCTCGGGCTTTCCTCGAAAGCCCATTATGTGCATGAATAAAACATTGGCTATCTATTCCAAGGACCCAGACAAGGCCTGCCTTTCCTCTGATATAAACGTAGCTTCTTGCTTTTGGCTTTACATTTGCCACATCTTGCCAGCACAAATCACATGTTTACTGCTCTGTTATTTCCAGAAAACTGCTGAATAATGGATATCATATAACTTCTTGTTGAGCAAAGTGTTTTTAAAATTTCCTCAAACAAACTCAACAAGGGGACACTCAGCACATAAGTGCAATTTTGGAAAGTAACTGCAAAACCCATTGAGAAAGGACATATGGCCTTTAAAGAAATGTGAATATGAATATGAGGATTTGAGCAAAGCGAGAAAAAGCAGCCCCACATTGAGCAGATGCTACTGATTCCCGCTATGTCCTAGTGGGCAGGCACAGGAACCCATGCTGTGCTGGGGGCAGGGTCACGAGGACACGCATCCTTTCTTTTAAATCCTCTGGCAAACCCTGTATACTACATAAGGTTCACTAAATTCTAGCTACCTGTGTTGCTTCAAGTATTGTAAACATGATATGGTAAATGTTGCTAAAAGGCTCTTCTTATTGTGATATTTTGTAATTTTACATAGATTCCTAAATTTTAATATTGATGTTGAGGAAAACCTTCAAGGTAGTCATAGTTCACTTTCTGGTTAAGCCTTTCAAATGTTTCCATTCCAAAATTACTGTGCATTTGAACCAGAGAACTGCTCATTGCTGCTGGGTCATAATTGCTTGGCAATACACCCTCTGGGAGATTTCATTCGAAAACACACACCTTTCTAGAATCATTTTCAGTGTTTGGGGCTTGAAATAATGTCACTGAGATGTGCATCTCTCTTAATATCTTTAAAACACATTTTGTTTAAATAAGAACGAACCTACTTTATGCAATTATATGTTTCTAGCGTAACAGTTCGAAGTCCCAAGCACAACTGCAATCGACATCTCCTCCTCTTTCAGGGAGCTCTTGACTGCGACAGCGGTGTGGCTAACATGGCACCCAAAAAGAAGGCTATCAAAAAGAACAAAGCGGAGATCAATGAGATGACTATCATCGTAGAAGACAGCCCCCTAAGCAAGTTGAATGCTCTAAATGGGCTCCTAGAGGGAGGCAACAGCCTTAGCTGTGTTTCTTCTGAACTAACAGACACTTCCTACGGCCCCAACCTCCTGGAAGGCTTAAGTAAAATGCGGCAAGAGAGCTTCCTCTGTGACTTAGTCATTGGTACCAAAACCAAATCCTTTGATGTTCATAAATCGGTGATGGCTTCATGCAGTGAATACTTTTACAACATCCTGAAGAAGGATCCATCAACGAAGAGGGTAGACCTCAATGACATCGCCCCTTTAGGCCTAGCCACAGTGATTGCATATGCGTACACGGGAAAGCTGACCCTCTCTCTATACACAATAGGGAGCATCATTTCTGCTGCTGTGTACCTTCAGATCCACACCCTCGTAAAGATGTGCAGTGATTTTCTGATACGAGAGATCAGCGTTGAGAACTGCATGTATGTTGTTAACATCGCTGAAACATATTGCCTGAAAAACGCAAAAGCAACAGCCCAGAAATTTATCCGGGATAATTTCATTGAATTTGCGGAATCAGAACAATTTATGAAGCTTACGTTTGAACAGATTAATGAGCTTCTCATAGACGATGACTTACAATTGCCTTCTGAGCTGGTGGCGTTCCAGATTGCAATGAAATGGCTAGAATTTGACCCAAAGAGAGTGAAACATGCAGCAGACCTTTTAAGTAACATTCGATTTGGTACCATTTCTGCACAAGACCTGGTCAATTATGTTCAGACTGTCCCAAGAATGATGCAAGATGCTGATTGTCATAAACTGCTTGTGGACGCCATGAACTATCACTTGCTACCTTATCATCAAAACACGTTGCAATCTAGGCGAACAAGAATTAGAGGTGGCTGCCGAGTTCTCATCACTGTTGGGGGACGCCCTGGCCTGACTGAGAAGTCCCTCAGTCGAGACATTTTGTATAGAGACCCTGAAAATGGATGGAGCAAACTTACGGAAATGCCAGCCAAGAGTTTTAACCAGTGTGTGGCTGTGATGGACGGATTCCTTTATGTAGCTGGCGGTGAGGACCAGAATGACGCAAGAAACCAAGCGAAGCACGCGGTCAGCAATTTCTGCAGGTACCTAGTGCTTTGTTGATAATGCGAATGAGTCGAAATGTGAAGAAACTGCCTTGACCCAGAATTAATGTCTAACATCTTAGCTCATTGACCATCCAGTAGTGGTAGAATGCTTTAGATATTCTCATCATTTCATATAAAGTGCATTCAAGATATATGTACCCTAGATTTCTTTTTTTCACTTTTTAATATTTGTTACTTAGCATAAAAAGGGATGGATTTCATTTTGGCATTTTTGTACATACAGGCCATTACACTTTCTTATGCGTATCTCTTGCCCGCTCTCCTCACATGCTCCTGCCTCTCTCTTATTGGTCCCCTTGCTGCTTCCCTGGAATCCTCTGCTTCCATGTCACATGAATTCTGTTACCCCCCTTCTCTGAAAATCTCTTTCTCCGCTTTCATGGTCCCCTTTCTGTTTTCATCATGCATACGCATCAAACATAACCAAGAGGCAAAATTATTATGATATCCTTTATTGTCTCATTATATGTGTGTACCCACCACTTACCAAGAACCCAAACAAAGCATTGGAGAAGTGGATCCGTGGTTAAAAGCACCACTGCTCCTGCAGAGGACCCAAGTTTGGCACCACATCAGGTGGCCCACACCAGCCTGTAACTCCAGCACCAGGGCATCCAACACCCTCTTCTGGTCTCCAAGCACTCACACACCCATATCCACGCAGAGACACACATGCACACACACACACTTTATATACATATATATACATGAATACATATATACACACATTACATATGTATATATGTAATCATTTATATGTAAATATATTTATGCTTATATATTTATTATATATGATTTATATTTACATATAAATAATAAATCAAGATAATTATTTTGTTATTATAGCATATATTTTTATGTAATTTAAAGATACACTTTATATTTATATGTGTAAATATATTGTTTTTAAAAAAATAATCCAAGCAATTGATTTTCAGACTTTTTATACCTTTCCGGTTCTGAGCCTTAAATCCAGTGCCTCACCCATGTCAATCAAGCACTCCAGCTCTGAGCCCCAGAACTGAGTCCACATCTTCAGCCCCGGTGCTCAGTTCTTATCTGTACTTACAGTTTTGTTTGGGAGTGAAAGTGGACAAAGGTGAACTCTGTTTACAGAGCTTCTGCACTCTGTGAACAAGGAAGCCCGAGGTCACTGGCTCCACCTCTTTCGCTTCTGCCGGGTCTCTCACCGTTTAATACTCAAGCCAGTTTTCTTTGTGTTGATTTATATACTGAAAAATTCTATGAACTGGAACTTTTACCAGTGGAAAACTAGTAAGAGAGACCAAGCCTTTCTTGATGCTGTAGACATAATTCCATTGATCTCCTGACAGGCTCAGAGGGGTGGCTTAGCTTTCTCTCGGGGCAATGAATAGCCAGAACAGACATGCCAAGGAGAAGTTTGCAGAAGAAATCCAATCAGGCATCTCCTATCCTAATTAAGCAGCAAGAAAGAGCTAGGGGGCCATTGATGTCTGAAAAACAGGTAGAATCACCTCTAACATACAGATTCCCTCTTCAGGTACCCAACATCTGTCCTGTGACCCATTTTGCATGTCTCTTAAATCCCGGGGTGGGGGCCGTATTAGAGGAAAGAGTTCTGTAGGATCGGTTTTGTTGTTTGGTTTGGTTTTTTGTTTTGTTTGGGGGTATGGCTAAAGGAAACGTCTTCTGAATGGGGAGAGAGGGAAGTATCTTTTTTTCCCCCTGAATGAGAGGAGGGGGAGCAATATCTGTGTGGTGGTGGGTGGGTGGGTGGTGGTGGTAAGGTCAGGGTTCCCACTTATACGTTGCTGGGCAAGATGAGCTCCCCTGCTTCTGCAATCAAGCTGTCTTCCTGTCATCTCAGGTACGATCCTCGCTTCAACACCTGGATCCACCTGGGCAGCATGAACCAGAAACGCACGCACTTCAGCCTGAGCGTCTTCAACGGGCTCCTGTACGCGGTGGGTGGCCGCAACGCGGAGGGCAGCCTGGCTTCGCTGGAGTGCTACGTGCCCTCCACCAACCAGTGGCAGCCCAAGGCGCCGCTCGAGGTGGCACGCTGCTGCCACGCCAGCGCCGTGGCCGACGGCCGCGTGATCGTGACGGGCGGCTACATCGGCAGCGCGTACTCGCGCTCCGTGTGCGCCTACGACCCCGCGCACGACGCGTGGCAGGAGCTGCCCGAGCTGAGCACGCCGCGAGGCTGGCACTGCGCGGTGGCGTTGGGCGACCGGGTGTACGTGATGGGGGGCAGCCAGCTGGGGCCGCGCGGGGAGCGCGTGGACGTGCTCACGGTGGAGAGCTTCAGCCCCGCAGCGCGCCAGTGGAGCTTCGTGGCGCCGCTGCCCGTGGGGGTGAGCACGGCGGGGGTCTCGGCGCTGCACGGCCGCGCGTACCTGCTGGGCGGCTGGAACGAGGGCGAGAAGAAGTACAAGAAATGCATCCAGTGCTTCAACCCTGAGCTCAACGAGTGGACAGAGGACGACGAGCTGCCCGAGGCCACCGTGGGCGTGTCGTGCTGCACACTGGCCATGCCCAACAGCGTGTCCCGCGAGTCACGGGCCAGCTCGGTGTCCTCCGTGCCGGTCAGTATCTGAACGCATAGCTTCCCAGAGGCTCATGGTCAAACTGTGAGTGGGCCACAAGGAAAATACACACCACTTACTACAGTGATGGTGATTCAAATTGATCTAGAGGAATGTCTGGGCGGCTCTAAATTCTTAGTTTGGCATCATCTACCTCAGTCTTTCCCCACCTCCCAACAAAATAGAGGGCTGTAGGCAACAGAGGAAGCAATTTCGACCTGCAGCCACTGGGTGGCAAACGGAGTTTGTTGCAGGCACTCTTCCAAGGAGCATGCTTCCTGAATTCATAGCTGAGATTTTCTTTCCTACACGGGAAACTTACGTGACTATGCAATTCCCTATTCAAAGGTGTATTTTCCTCTCAGGTCCTTTTGGGGGAATGGAAAATACTCCTTTCAGTTTTTCAAAATTGTCTATATCTATAAACACTTAATTTTATATTTCAACATAAAAATGTCTGTCTCCTTACTTGAGTGAAAAGAGCTTTTAAAGACATCTCATGATACAGTCCAAAGCTTTAAACAAGATGTGGCCGGAAAGCAACACATTCTACCTGGGATCTACAGTCATTTTCTATCTTAATATCCCACTCTCAGAAAAGGAACGGTTTTCGGCCATCTAATTTACAGTGTAAATTTTTCTTAGAAATGATTTGATCGCTTATCCATCTCTTATTCTCTTATCATTATATATGGAGAGACTTTTTTTTTCTTTTTTTCTTTCTTTCTTTTTTTTTTTTGGTTCTGAGTGGTGAACCAAGGACCTCATACGTGCTAGATAAGTGCTTGCCGGGGAGCTTCATCTCCAGTCCTCATTTTATTCTTTTTTTTTTTTTTTTTTTTTTTTAACCTAAATTCAAAGTTGAACCAAACCTCCTATTTGAAAAACTTGATGGATTTTTGACAGCTGAATATAGCTGTAAAGCTACTACCACAGTGACGAAGTAGGTTCTTTATCCCCCCCCCCCTTTTTTTTCTTTC